CCTCCTCCCTCAGACCCAGGAGTCCAGGCCCCCAGCTCCTCCTCCCTCAGACCCAGGAGTCCAGGCCTCCAGCCCCTCATCCCTGAGACCCAGGAGTCCAGGCCCCAGCGCCTCCTCCTCCCTTAGACCCAGGAGTCCAGGCCCCAAGCACCTCATCCCTCAGACCCAGGAGTCCAGGCCCCATCGCCTCCTCCCTCAGACCCAGGAGTCCAGGCCCCAGCCCCTCCTCCCTCAGAGCCGGATGTTCAGGCCTCAGCCCCTCCTCCCTCAGACCCAGGAGTTCAGACCCCCATCGCCTCCTCCCTCAGACCCAGGAGTCCAGACCTTAGCTTCCCCCACCCATCTGAAGTTTTCAGGCACAGAACTGAGGCCTCCCCTACCCCCCTCAAGGCCCCTCTCTTCCCAGTTGCTCCACCACCTGCTTCCCGCCCCCCTAAGTCTGAGGTCATCCCACACTGCATCGTTCTGGAATCTCATTGTCTCATTCTTTCCCCAAACAAGACCCCAGCATCTGACCCCCTGCACACCCCTCTCCAAGCACTTGTGTCTGACCTGTCAATGGGGCATTGATGGGGCAGCTGGGTGGGGTCAAGGCAGGGGTGGGTTCCAGAGATGATTTCATTTTCTACACGGGACCCGGACTCCTGGGCCTGAGGGAGGAAGTGGTTGTGAACCTGGACTCCTGGGTCTGAGGGAGGAAGTGGTTGTGGACCTGGACTCCTGGGTCTGAGGGAGGAGGGTCTGGAGGGCTCCTGATTCCAAAGACAGGAATAACAATAAAAATCGTTTGAAAACACACAGTAGGAATACAGGCCAGTGAGTGCCTCCCTGCTCGAAGCACAGGGAGATTAAGCCCCACTCCGAAGTCCCCAAGCCTTGGGCCACAGTGGGACTTCAGACCCCTGTTTTTTTCTGGGACGGTTGCACCCACCCTTCAGGGTTTTTTATTTCTTTTTTTTTTTTTCCTTTTTGAGACGGAATCTCGCTCTGTCGCCCAGGCTGGAGTGCAGTGACGTGATCTCAGCTCACTGCAACCTCCAACTGTCTGGTTTGAGCGATTCTCTTGCCTCAGCCTCCCGAGATGCTAGGATTACAGACGTGAGCCACCGCACCCAGCTTATTTTTATTTTTTTTGAGACAGGGTCTTGCTCTGTTGCTCAGGCTGGAGTGCAGTGGCCCGATCTCAGTTCACTGCAATCTCCACTTCCCAGGTTCAAGTGATTCCCATGCCTCGGCGTCCTGAGTAGCTGAGACTACAGGCGCGTGCCACCACGCCTGGCTAATTTTTATATTTTTAGTAGAGACAGGGTTTTACCATGTTGACCAGGCTGGCCTGGAACTCCTGAACTCAGGTGATCCACCCGCCTCGGCCTCCCAAAGTGCTGGGATGACAGCCTTAAGCCACCACGCCCGGCCTACCCTTCAGGTTTGTACTGCCATGTCTGATTTGAAGTCACTTAATTTTTTATTTTTTATTTATTTATTTATTTTATTTTTTTTTTTTTGAGACGGAGTCTCGCTCTGTCGCCCAGGCTGGAGTGCAGTGGCCGGATCTCAGCTCACTGCAAGCTCCGCCTCCCAGGTTTACGCCATTCTCCTGCCTCAGCCTCCTGAGTAGCTGGGACTACAGGCGCCCGCCACCTCGCCCGGCTAGTTTTTGGTATTTTTAATAGAGACGGGGTTTCACCGTGCTAGCCAGGATGGTCTCGATCTCCTGACCTCGTGATCCGCCCATCTCGGCCTCCCAAAGTGCTGGGATTACAGGCTTGAGCCACCGCGCCCGGCGAAGTCACTTAATTTTTTAAAATAAACTTTTTATTTTGGAATCATTTTAGGTTTATAAAATGGTTGCCAAGATCCTGCGGAGAGTTGTCATGCACCCTCCGCCACCCGCCCCCAGCGCCGGCGTCGCAACGCAAACCAAGAGACGTTTGTCAAAGCTACGAGGCTCACAGTTGGGCCAACACCAGACTGTTATTTCAGCAGCGCTTCCACGATGGATCCAGCCCAGGATGCCGTGTCGTATGTGGTGAGCTCACTTCTCAGCCTAAAAGCATACCTCCCTGCGTAGGAAACAGTTTCCAGTTCCTGACCCTCCGCTGGGTGCTGGGGTCTCGGATTTGGATCTAATTCGTCCCCGTCCTGCAGGTGTGAACCTCCACAAGTCAGGCTCCGTGTCCTGTCTGGGAGGTGCTGTGGGACTGCGGGACGTGGCCTGGCCTTGATGAGGAAGGAGACCCATCGGCACCAGACCTGGCTCTTAGGAGGCTCTCAGTGTAGGTCTGAGAAAGGTGGACGGAGCTGGGACAATCACAATCCGTGGTGCTCTGTGGGAGCAGAACTGGGAAGGATCTAAATATGGAGAAGACCAGGTCCAGCCTGGAGAGTCAGAAAGAGACACGGATTGTTCCAATACAAGTTCCCCAGGAGGCTAGAGAGGGCTGGGGGTGGGGGCCGGTTTCTGGAGCCATGGGACGGGGGAAGATGCTCTCGGTGGAGGCCACACAGTGTGCCAATGTCTGCCAGCAGCTGTGCGTGCGTGTGTGCGTGCGTGTGTGCATGTGCGTGCTTGTGTGCGTGCGTGTGTGTGCATGTGCATGCATGTGTGCGTGCACGCGTGTGTGTGTCCGTGTGTGCGTGCATGTGTGTGCATGTGTGCATTGTGTGTGCATGTGTGTGCTTGTGTGCGTGCATGTGCGTGGATGCGTGTGTGTGTGCGTGTGTGCGTGCATGCACGTGTGTGCGTGTGTGTGCGCATATGTGTGTGTGCTCAGATGTGTAGATTTAGGTCCAGAACAGATGAGTGACTCCCATGACATCACCCAGAGCCCAGTGAAATGAGAGAAGCAGAAGGTGAGGTTTACACGGTGTTGGATCCTAAAGTTCAGATCTTGGGACATGGACAGTGGGAGCCACCGAAGGTCTTAGAGGAGAGGAGTGATCCCATCAGAACTCCATGATGGCTGGGCATGGTGGCTCACGCCTGTAATCCCAGCACTTTGGGAGGCTGAGGCGGGTGGATCATGAGGTCAGGAGATCGAGACCATCCTGGCTAACACGGTGAAACCCCGTCTCTACTAAAAATACAAAAGATTAGCCGGGCCTGGTGGCGGGTGCCCATAGTCCCAGCTACTTGGGAGGCTGAGGCGGGAGAATGGCGTGAACCTGGAAGGCCGAGCTTGCAGTGAGCCGAGATTGGGCCACTGCCCTCCAGCCTGGGTGACAGACTGAGACTCCGTCTCAAAAAAAAAAAGACACTCTGGACAGAGGGAAGAGGAAAGGTCCTTGAGGGAGGAAGGGCTGGGAGCCTGGACCCCTGCGTCTGAGAGAGGAGGGGCAGGAGCTGGACTCTTGGGTCCTTGGTTGGAAGAGAAATGCGCGTCCAAGCCCAGCGTGCCGTAGGGAGAGTGCAATGTGTTCCCTCTCTGTCCTCCCGGGTGCAGCTGTCTCTCCATCCAGGTGGCCCTGGGGGCTGGGGGAAGGGCCTCTGGCCCAGGCTCTGGCCACCTGTCTCTGTCACCTGGTCAGGGAGCTCCCCCATCTGTCCCCGTCCTCCCGCCACTTTTGCCATCATCGCCGTCATCTGTCCACTCCTCCAGGCTTGAGCCTCCCTCCTCCCCGTCCTCATAGGACACGCTCCCCAAAACCCCGGGGCCGTCTCTGTTCCCCTGCAACCCCCAGTTGTCCCCCAGGAAGTCCAGGACAGCCAGTGGGGGGCTCCTAGTCTCAGGATCCAGGTCCAGAAGCCCCTGAAGCAAGGCCATGGCGGGGGGTGCAAACTGGTCCCAGGGTGGTGGTGGCCGAGGTGGCTGGGGCTTGGTGGTCACCCAGCCAGCGAAGGCCTCAAACTCAGGGTTGGGGGCCAGTGCCACGTCCCACGGGAAACAGGCAGTGGCAGCACAGAAGAGAAGCACCCCCAGGCCCCAGGAGTCCACGGCTGGCCGCAGAGGCAGAGTGTCGGGCGGTAGCAGGAGGCAGAGCTCGGGTGGTGCCGTGGGCAGAGGCCCTGGTGGGGCAGGGGTCGGGCTGCCCTCCGGCCGGGTCAGACCCAGGTCTCCCAGGGCCACACGGCTGCAGACCGGGTCGAAGACCAGCACGTTGTCCGGCTTGACATCTGCATGGACCAGCCCCCGGCTGTGGAGGAAATCCAGAGCTCCTGCCAGCTGGGCCACCACCCGTTTCACCAGCAGCTCGGGAAGGCCCTGAGGTCAAGAAGACAGGAGAAAGGTCAGAGTGCCTTGGTTTTGTCTTTTTTATGTTGTCCAGGCTGTTCTCAAATTCCTGGCCTCAAGCGATCCTCCTGCCTTGGCCTCACAAAGTGCCGGGATTACAGGCCTGAGGCACCACACCAGTTGGTTCCTTCTGAATAATTCTTGAAAGAGGCTGTAGACTCCTAAGTCCTAAAGGTTGGACTCTTGGGGTTTGAGAATCTAGAACCCCAGACTAGTGGCTACCTCCCGTGTTCCCACCACTTGCTCCCAAAGACTCTCTCTCCATCATCCTCAACCTCAACCTGCAGCCATATCTGCACTCCAGTAGACAACTCCCCACTGGTCTCCCAGTTTTCCCCACTGGAACCCCAGTTATAACCAGTAGCTCCTTTGAGCTTCTTTCAAAGATTCTCTTAACTCAAATACTCAGGCATTTCTTATATATCTTTTATAATCTGATCATCCAGATCTTCTCCAGTGAGAACTCAAATTTCATTCTTAACCCTAATCTTAGTCTTATACGAGCCTAGACCCCCATCTCTAACTCTGAGTCTGTTCTAAAATCCCCTGGTTTATTTCATCAGTTGATTGTCTATCCATCTAGCTAGCCAGCTGGCCAGGCAGCAATCCATCCCTGAAGCCACCCATCCTTCCAACAGTATTCAACAGTGTGTCCATCCAACATCCGTTCCACCAACCAGTCAGCAATCCAGTCAGTTATTCAATTATTTAATATCCAACATCCATATATTCATCCTCCCTTGCTTCCTTTCACCCATCCATTCACCGTCCATTTATCATCCATCCACCAATCCTTCCATCCACCCACTCATCCATCCACTCAACCAATCCTTCCATC